TACAGTCGACCCCCCTATAACACGGGTTCCTATAGTTCGGATTCCTATATGACGGCGAAAAAATTGCAATGGTATCCATACAAACATGGTAAAGAAACTCCTATAATTTGATAAAACGTCATCGGGCAGCTGAACTACTTTCCACCATCCAGCGCCACGCTACGGAGAGTTTAGGCGGGTAAATTGAGTTTACTATTGTCTGTACAGTATTATATATAAATTAGGTACTGTACATATAATTATACATTAATTATATATAAATTAGGTACTGTATATATAATTATATATTAACTTAATTTATTTTAACTTTATTATAATTATATATATACTTTCCGCCATCCAGCGCCATGCTACAGGGAGTTTAGACAAGTAAGTTGAGTTTACTATTGTCTGTACAGTATGTCTGTACCATAAGTCTAATACAGCACTAATTTTATACATTTCTTGTGAAAGAAACATTTCTTATTCAACAGCCATAAAAATTATTTATATTAATGATGTCTCCAAAGTTCAACGAAGTTTTCACAGAAAAATAACTTATCAGAAATCGCCCGCTGTTTGGTGCGCTGCTCCGCGACGAAAACAAGCTTGAGCAATGGCGATGTCGAACAGTGCACACTCGGTAAGTAATCCTACAATTTTTTGTTTATAGCATAGTTTATACAGATTATTCCCAAAAAAATTATACATATTTTGGAAATGTTGAGTCAAATTAGTCTAGGAATCGATTAATTTTATGGAAGAAAACCTTTCAAACAGCCATAGTTGGTAAAGTGCATATGTGCCGGGCTGTGATTGGCAAGGACTCGTACAAAATGGATTCATAAAGAACGGAACGTATCTACCGTGTTATGGGGGGGTCGACTGTATATGTATATATATATATATACAGTCGACCTACATATATATATACAGTCGATGTACATATATATATATATATATTCAATCAATCAATCAATCAACATTTATTTGTTATGGCTTTCGCCTTTACAAAGGGGTTACAAGATCTTGTAACATTGACAAATACAAACATTGTTATACATGGTTTCAAAGATATTAAAGCTAAATTAATAATGTTATGTTAACATGTTAAATAAATAACNAATCTCTTTACTCTAGCCTGTAGTTTTTCAACTGCGTTAGTGCCGCTTTTTTCACATTGAGTGATATTGATGTACTCCATAAGCAATTTCTCGTATGTCTGATTCCTCATAATTACCATGGTTTTAGCTTTATCCGCTCTAATTATAGTGATGTCATTTGCTTTGGTCCATCTACGGGCTTTTGCTATTTTTGCTCTTAGTTCTTTTGACTCCACATCATTCTTTGCCTTTATTATTTTTTGCACTGCCAACCATCTATAATATTCCTTACTTCTATCTGAGAGGCCTTGTATTAGGGCTTCTATGTCTGGGATATAACTCAGAGATCCAGTTATGGGTGGCGGTGGAGCGAATTTCGGACCATTAGCTCTACTCAAGCGGATTAATACCACCCCCACAGTAACTCACTGTGCTAGATTTTAAATCATTATACCCTTCTTTACTCCTTCCACCAGCCTTCTGTGCATTAAGAGATTTGCTAATAAGTATAATAGGGGACAGTAACCACCATCAAGATATACTAGAGTTAGCGCATTTATTGTGCTACAATTCTTTATTTCAATTCAAAAACGAGGTATATCAACAGAAAAGAGGTGTACCAATGGGGAGCCTGATAGCAGGAGATCTATGCGAACTGGTAATTAGACTCCTAGAACAGAAAGTACTGCCCGACCTACTCCACAATATTATTACATACAAAAGATATGTGGATGATATAATCATTTTATGGAAATCTAAACCTGACATAATGGCAGTCATAGCGGCATTTAATAATAACTCGTATGGATTAACTGTGGGCCTCGAACAGGAGAGCAACAAACAAATTCATTTTCTCGACGTGAACATCATAGTTAAAGAAAGGTCTATCAACACAGAGGTATACAGAAAACCTCAGGCAGATCAATTGTATATCCCTGCGCATTCATGTGACCCATGGCAGTATAAGATAGCAGCCTTTAATAACTTGGTGAATAGAGCATACACCCACTCATCGACATTGCGGGCACTGGATACAGAGATCAACACCATTAATATCATGGCCAAAAGACATGGATATAATAGTAGTATAGCCATGAGGATCAAAAAACTGATGCATTCACGAAGAACAGATCTAACAGAACCGCAAGGGCAACAAAGTAACATTCAGAAAGACAGAATCCTAGTCACTTACAATCCGTACTTAGAGAAAATCTACAAAGAGATCGCCAAAACAAAACAAGCCTCCTTAATATTTAGAAGATGTCCCACTATATTTAGAATGCTAAATAATGCAAAAGACACTCCACACCAAAACAAATTAGCAGGAGTATACAGGATCCCTATAAAAGATCATAGGTGTGATAAAAGTTTAGTATACGTGGGATCGACAAAAAGACCGTTGGAGGTGAGGATCAAAGAACACAAAGCAGACATCCTACATAAAAGATATTCTACAGCATTAGCACAATTTGCCACGGACCCTGATATACAAGCTGTATTTGACGAGGCAAAGGTAATTTACACCACACAGCTAATACAGCATTTGCGCTGGATGGAAGCGATATATATCTATAAAACAGCAAGAGAAGACAACTGTATAAACAATAAAGATGAACTGTCCTTGTCGATGGCATGGCAAACTCTTATTTACGACACTTGAGAAGCTAAAAGCGATCCTTCCATCTACAGAGCATGCGCAAGTTTAACACGATGATTGCACGAGTTTCCGTAGAACATTGCATTCAGATTTCGAATAACATCGATTCTACCAGTTTCACCTGAAGAAGAACGAGGTTCGAAAACGTTAGTGGAAATATTTGGAAATAAGCACTGCTTTGATTTACTGCAGAAGTAAGTCGTATTACCATGTAATTTGTAAAATAAAATAACTAAAAATAAATCAATTACTACTTGATAAACATATATGAAGCATTATTTAGTAAAATCTAAGAAATATGTAATATTCAATTTCAAAAATCTGTTGGTTTAATTTTACTAACCTATTAACCAAGCATTATTATTCGTTTGGATTTTTCCCTCTATAAAAGTTCATCTTAAGTTGCAGCTTTTCCGTATATATGAATCATGTGTTGATTCAGGAAATTTTGCATTAATGCTATTTATGTTCATGTCGGGATCACACACCTGACAAATAATGAAAATATAATAATTCATTGTATTATTTTTATGTCACGAAATGATATTCATAATTTAATAACAAATTTGATAATTTATGTACTAAAATAATTTAAAATATAATCAAAAAGTTAGAGTCATTTACTTACTATTTGTGTATTTATTGAATGATATCCTTTTCAATTGACATACATAAATTCTTTATGCTCGGGATCATTAATTAAGTGATGGTGCAATTATAGGAATATAAGTTCCATCAATAGCACCTATCACTCCTGGAAAGCCACCTAAACTCATGAAGTTCTGTTTTACTAAGGTCATCTCTGTTTCAGAACTTGGAAATTTTATCCAGCAATGAAGAAAAACCACATTTATTGCCTCGTTTACTGTCATTATGCAATGGCTTACCGATGGCTGGCTAATTTCTAGCATGTTATCTTGAGCTACTGGCATCTGATAAGAACCAGAAGCAAAAAAATCTAAGAGCACATAATACCTGCAAGAAAACAAATATAATAAAACTATAATGTAGCTCACAGATATATATATTTCAAAAAGTTATCTGTAAAAATTTTTATAGTCATATGTATATTCATATTCATATTGTTATATGAACATCAACAATTTTGTATTAAACAAAATCTCCATGTTAATGTGACTTTAAAATGTCATTATTTGGGAAACATATTCTCTTATACACAATTTTCATATATTTTCAATAATTTTATACATTCATTTTTCTATAAATAAGAGAAAATTAATTCCATATTACTCTGAATACATATTTTATTTTAAAATTTGCTAAATGATTATTACTCTTTAATTATAAATACATTATAAAATGTATCTTATGTGTAGTATATTTTATAATTGGTTACTATAATTTAAAATTTATACTTTTATATATAGTGAAAACAGTAAATGTTAATATTAATTAATTAATCTATCAAACTATAGTGTATAAAGTTAATTTCTTCAAAGCTGCAGCTTACATTGTATATATAAAAAATAATGTTTATTCAAAATTCTTGTTAAAAATTACACTTCAAAAGTGTAACCTGCATATACTAATCTCCACAAAACTTTTATATATTTATATTCAAAGCTATCATTTTAATTTATACATATGCGAATGAAACCTATTTCAGAAATAATGTTCATGCTATAGCTACTTACTTTAAATTTGAACAAAAAAGCAATTATTCATAAATAGTTAAGGTAATTATTTTTAAGTAATACAACAACATAGTTTATAAACATTAAAAAGCTACTTACTTTTATTTCTGAGGATAGAGCATTTTTCTTAAAACACTTTGGTTCTAGCGTATCTCATAATTCATTACATATATACACACACACATATATAACTAATGGTTTTGGAAGACAATAAAGTTGTTTAAACCATGTATCGTTCAGCCAAAAAGCATCAACTCGAAGATTAAACTGAGATTCGTGACGTCGAATTCTAATTTCTTCTCTCTCCAATTGTTCGTGAAGTAAAATCATTCTTACACCGAAAGACGCCATGTTGTTTTCACTTTCGTTACGTTCCTAACGGCAGGTCGAAAGTGACTGATAACAAAAGCTTAGTTATCGCACGTGGCTATCGAAACTAAAAACTAAACGTACGGCTCGGAATAGCATTTTTACGGTTGATTAAATGTGAATCACGTGGTTCCAATAGAAACTGGTTTTTATCATATTCATTAGCTTAACGATACTACTCAGAATAGTCCCCAAGGAGTTATGAAATGATGCTTGTGAGGAAACCAGAAGAAGTGATAGGATTATGAGTGTTAAACTAAAGATAAGGAAGTTATATGTCACAATAGTATGTGATATATCACACTAACCTTAAAAATGCTTTGCAGATATTTTTTAACATATCACAGATGACAGATTGAATAGAGATCTTGTATATGTAGGATCTACAAGAAGATTGCTCAAACAATGCCTCCGTAAGCATAAAACTGATATTGAAAAGAAGAAAAACACTAGAAAAATAAATGGAACATAGAAAAATAAATGGTGATCCCCTTTGGGCTTTATTTTATTAAATAAAAAACACTATCGCCTTAGCTATATAGGCCTATGCCAGCAAAAATGGCATTACATCTGAATTACAACAAGCAACCATGATCTAGCAAACTCATCATATACACCAATTTAGGAATTTGGAGGCATTAGAAATTTTTAAAGCGGAATGCCAAGGCCTTTCAATCAATTTTAAAGATGAAAAATAACTTTTGAGGACATGGCAGGCTATGTATGAACTGGCGTTATAACAGCTGATGCAGGCGACATTGTTAAAATTTAAAAAGGAAATTTGAAAGGAAATTAGAACACATTGGAAACAGAACTGAACGGAATCACACCAGAAAAGGGTTTTCTCTAGTAGAACTCCATCCGAAGAAGGTCCTAGGGTGGACCAAAAACGTTTGTGGTACATTAAAAATTATCTGCAAAGCATTTTAAGGTTAGTGTGATATATTTGTCAAAACTTTGTTTATTAGATGGATTTTATGTATGTGATGTGTAGAGCAGGGAACTATAGGAATGGAAATGAAGATAAGCTGAGAGAAAAGCAAGACAGTGAGAAGGGAGGAGGGAAGAGGGAAAATTGAACTGAATGTAGATTAGAGGATGTTGACAACTGTAGATATCTGGGAACAGAAATATCAAAGAATGGAAAGTAGAACAAAGAAATACATAAAAGAATACAGAAGCTGATGGCTTCTATCAAAGTACGAAAACTTTGATCTGGAAAAAGCGAGTGCCATTCAAATGTAGGAAGGTCTTGTCAATCATACTTTGTCCCAATATTGATTTATGGAGTTGCAGCATAAACTGCAGCATGAACCACATCATCAAACAGCAAAAATGCTTTAAGATGCAATCTTTTTTTTGGTCTACTATATTGACCAAGAAAAATTGTAATAATTGAATTTTTCCTGAAGGTCAATAAAGTAGACCAAAAACGTTAGAAGTTTAAATAAAAAGACTGCATCTTAAAGGGTGTTTGCTGTTTGTTGATTTTTAGGTAGAGAAGAACTGCATCTTAAAAAGAAGACATAGCTCCAGGCAGTAGAAATGAAATTCCTCAGGAGCAAGCTGAATAAGACCAGAAGAGACAGGAGAAGGAATGAAGAAATAAGGGAAAGAACAAGAATAAAAAATTTGGGGAAGAAGACAGAAAAAATTTGAATGAGATGGTTTGGACATACTAGGCGGAAGAGATGGAGGGGAGAAGACCTAATACCCTGTTCACACCTAGCATTTCAATCTGGATTGTGACCAAGGTCGGAGACCATGCCATGGTGCAACTTCTCTCAACCGTTTAAATCTCAACTGAAACGAGGTTCAATCGCGGTCGACTCGAGAGTTCTTGAAACTAGATCCAGTCATAAGAGAGATTCCACAATCCCACACATGCAAGAAACTACAAGATGGCTGGGAACACATGTCAGGCAATCAACAGAAAAATAAAAAAGATATTTGGAGAGACGATGAGATCTGTCTATTATTGGGTATATGGCAAGAAAAAGTATTTATTTCTAACCAAAACTTCCATCTTGTTAGTTGGTGTTTGTGACTTATCGCATAATTATGTCAATTTTATCATTGCGTGCAATAGCTGGGTTCTTCTCAAACGGATTGCCTGTGGGAACAGCTTGATGTTCGACTGCCGACAGTTACAATCCAGATTGTAGGTAAATCGAGATCGAAGTGAGTCATGGATTGTGTGCGAACATAGCATAAGGGAAGACCCAGGAAGAGGTGAATGGACAAGATTGCCAAAGACCTACGAAAAAGGACATGATGTAACAACATTGTTTGCCCAAGAGATGGAGGTCTGGTCCATGGCCCAACGCTTGCTTCATTAGATTAAGGGCAAAGAAGTATATATGTATGCTCCCCAAACAGAATGCAGGGAAGAAGAAAAGAATAACTTCTGAGCAGAATTATATAAAATGGAATGGAAATACTAGACAGTGACAGATTGATTAAGGAGATGATTTAAACAGACATGTGAAAAGATGTAAAAGAGAGGAAAGAAGTATGGTTGATGGAGTATAGGCAAGAGATAGAGGAGGAAACAGAATAACAGAATATGCAACAGCATTTGACCTAGCAACACTTAGTTCGAAAAGAATAAGAATCAGCTTATAACATACAAGAGGGGGACAGGATAAGCCAGATTGATTACTTAATGTATCACAGGAAACATCTTAAGAAAATGAGAAATTGCAAGGTGATTAATGGAGAAAGTGTAGCAGAACAACATAGATTGGTAGTAGTTGATTGGGTAATAATAGTTGACAAAAAGATCTAAAGACATTCAGGAAAGAACAAAGGATAAAGTAGTGGAAATTGAAAGAGGTGACCTGAATAGAATTGGAAAAAGAGCTTGGAAGAATAAAATTACTGGAAGATGTATAGGAATAATGGGAGTTTAATAGTCATATTATAAGGAAGGTTGGAATGGAGATATTGGGGAAAACATCAAGAAAAGGGCCACCCAGT